GGTGTATGATGAGTGGTGTATGATGAGTGGTGTATGATGAGTGGTGTGAGATGAGTGATGTATGATGAGTGATGTATGATGAGTGGTGTATGATGAGGTGTGTTTGTTGAGTGGTGTATGATGAGTGATGTATTGAACAGCTGTTGAATTCCGTAACACGGAAGTTTTGCACACTAAACTTCCTTTGATCAGGTTGGACTTTACTCGGAGGTCAATCTGCTTTTTTATTGGTTTTAGTCTATTTGATTTTTCCCCTCTCAACCCACACCTCACAAGATACTCAATTTTCCGTGCCACACGTTTGGCGAGACGAGTGTTTTTTCTGCCCAGACTTGCCTTACGTTCGGTCAACCGTGGATATCCACAGACACGAAACGCAGGACGCTGTGATGCATCTCTCCGTACAAGTTTCTGTGCGCATGCTGTTGAGGACACCCGTCGGAGCATGGGCCAAATTGCGTTCAACGATCCACTCCCCTTAGCCTAGGGGACTGCGGGTTTCATGCTGATATCTGATAGCCAGCCTTACGCTCAAGAGACCCCCTGCCTTGTAAGTGTTCCATACGCAAGATGGCACCGAAAGCGATGACCGTGGAACAACGCCTGAACCAGCTGGAGGAATTCAGGCGCGACGTGAATGTAGTGACTCGGGCCCGTTTGGAGAATACCCCCAAAGTCCTAGAGCTTTGCATTGAAGCGTCAGAGTCGCGTGACTTTGAAGTTTAAGGAAAAGCTGGCAGAGGCCCTACTGCTGGACCTAGACCCACTCCTGCCCACTCTGTTCCAAGAACCCAGGTTGTCCCAAATCCGCGGTGAATTGGCTGAAACCCTGAGGCCGGAGTGGTTCGTAGGCATTTTCGCAGTGGCAACCCGTGAATTTAAGCACGCTAAAGTTCTAGACGTCCGTTTGAGATTTGGGTTACGGGCCATACGTCTCCATGACCTCGTGAAGACTGAGCTGGGACCGAAGAGATGGAAAGGCGGCGAGCCAAGCGCCGCGGCCGCTCAAGGTCCCAAAGGCGCGACAAGAGGGGCGCTGATTTTCCCTAGATTGGCTGACTTGCGACGGTGACGACAAAAGCTGTGAGCTTCCTGTGTTTTTCTTCCGTCCTGCCTTGCAGCTGCCACCATCGCAGCAAAGAGCGCCGCGGTCGCGAGTCCCAGACCAATCCCAAAGCCCTCGAAGAGTGCCAGCTTCGGCTGGATCAGCACGGGGAGCGGCTGACGCGTGCCACTCAGCTGACCCTCCTCGCCAGCCGGGATGCTGGCGAGCAAAAAGCCAGTGTGGGATCAAGAGCACCAGCACCTGTCCAATGCGGTCCTACTTGGCTCCACCTCGCTACAGGAGGGCGGAAAACTTTGGCGTCAAAAAGTCTATGATGCCGCTGTCTGGGGGGCGCAAGTCTTCCCGCGGCCACACTCTACTCCGCCAACTCAGCGGCCGGGTCCGCGCCGGACCGATCGGCCGGTGCGCCGGAATTTCGCTCAAACCACTCAGTTCTGTTTAGACCATTTACCTGACCGTATCTCGGACAGCTGTTCTGCCCTCTTAGCCCGTGAACATGACCTTGGTGGCCGTGGTGCTCTCGGGGCGCAGCTGGTTCAAATGTTTCACACCGCATTTGGTCCTGGCTGGCGGGACTTTGATGCTGGCTCTCTCCTCGCTCACCTTGATTCCCTGCCGGAGTGGGCTGCATGTCTGAACGATTTGTTGCTCTTACTAATTATAGAGTCCTTGCTTCGTTGCCCTTCGCTGCCTGTTCCCCCGGCGGCCCCACCTGCACCATACCGTCTGACCGGTAAACAGCCCGCCGCTCGTCTCATCGACCCACGTTTCATTCCACCGGTTGCTGATGCTCCACCCCGAGTTTTCCCACCCCGTATGACCATCCGTCCGGAAAACTGTTACCGTATCCACCAAGAAGGGAATTTTTCTTGCGCTCTCTGCAACCGTGTTTTTCCTTCTGGCAGCGCCCTTGCCTCTCATGTTTGCCTTACGCATACCAAGGGTACCTTCCGGGAGGCTGGTTTCGGGTGCTCCTGCTGTCCGCGGATTTTCCGTAGAGAAAGTGCTCTCCGGTCACATCTGAGAGTTGACCATGCTGCCGACGCAATGGCTGAAATATGCCCGCGTTGCCAAGGGGTTTTTCCTGGTCGCCCTACCATGCTGCTTCATCTTGCCCAAGATCACGAGGTCACGAGTTTCGTGTATCCCATGCCGTGTCCGTTGTGCGTTCAGCGCAATCGTCTTCCCGTGCGCATTATGACCAATCCCTTGACCTTTAAACGACGCCGCACATCTTGTCACATGCGTGATCGGATACGGGTCTATGATCCCTAGGGGTTCGTGGCCTGGCTGTGTTTCTTGCATTGTTGGTGTGTGCCTTCCTCAGACTGCTTGGCTCGAACTTGTTGTCCGGTAGTCGCTGTCATGCCGCCCTCTGGTAGTAGTGCCCGCGGCCGCAGCCCTGTCACCAAGCGAGACTTTCGAAAGGGGCGTGATGATCTGGTCCATACCACAGGCCGCGTGGATCAGCTCGAAAAGAAGCTGCATACTGTTGGTGACCTGGCGGTGCAGACCGCGCAGGAAGTGGCAGTGTTACGATCGGAATTGCAGATCGTGTTTCTTGCAAGTGGCTCTGCCATCACACGGCTCACAGAAGAATTGGCGGCATACAACGAAGGCAAAGCTGCTGTGGCTCATGGGACTGCCGAACGCGGCCCACCTCTCAAGGTCAGGC